GTCAGTACCGAAGTTATGACTACTGAGCTGGTGATACCCTCGGGGACTGATAGTCCACCAGCAGAGGTATCGACCCAGTGATGTAAAAAATGAAAACAACACGTTATAAATTTCATGCGTTCGAAGCGCTTTTCTGGATTTACCTTCATCAGAAACGCTCAAAGCCAAATATTTGAAAGCCAAGGATGAATAAGAACCGAATCTATCTTTTCATTTTTTTAATGCAAAAGGGACAATAAAGATTAAAACAATGATTCTTATATGACTTTCTTCAAACGCTTTGAGTAAACACCATTGGTAATCGGTGTAAATGAAGTCGTTGAACGATGACGTCAGAATATGAGCACTGTACGGGAAATGCCACAATTTGAAACTGAAAGTCGCAAAACATGGAAACATGAACAAACAATGATATGAATTTCATGAATTTGTTGAAAGCACATTTTCCTAGAATAAAAGTAAGATAACCATTTAACTTCAACCAAACCTGTCTTAGTATGTTATTGTAAATCTTTTCAACATAAAGCTAATTCAGTTTTCTGTGTCCTTTACTTCGAAATTAAAAGTGTGTCCTATCACGAGAACAGCAAATATTTGCCTTCAGATAGAGTGCTTCAATCCACAGAATTGACGACTTTTTTCCTGTAATAATAGAAATATTTCATGGGGGCTTGAATTTATATTGATTTACCACGGGTTGGCCATTTATGCTAAATATTTTACCACGGACGGTAGTGAGCCACATGAAATATTTCTTTTCTAAAAGGACAAAGACGGCATTTCCAAACGGCTAGTTTAACCGATTTATTAAGTAGTCTCTCTTTATGTAATGCATGTTACATATTGGAAGATAAAGAATTTGTCATATTGTTAAACACTTGTGTATGATGTAGGCTGCTAACTGTTTTGCTGTTTGTTTGGGTTTATTTTATTCCTTTTTGGTTGCTTTTTTAATTTCTTAGAGGGCATTTTTGTTGCTTTGTAAATGTTTCTTTTATATGCATTCAAAAACCATTCTTATAGGTTTATTTAACCCTTCAATTACTTTATCAATGTAAGTTGTTGGCATTTTAAATGAAATATGGAGCTGCACCAAAAGCGCATCTTACGCTCTGATTGTGGATATTTATATTGTTGAAAGAATATAATGTAATATTTAGAAGACATTTGATAAGGAGCAAATAAATTTTTTTGTAGTTTTTAAAACATGCATGAGGATACAACCAAGCGTATAAATATTGCGACACATGTGACTGTTAAGAGTACAAAACTACTCTGAAATGACCAACCAAAATTGTTTTTTAGATAATAAGAAACGAGTCTACATTCACTTATCACAACAACAGTGTTAAATTGGTAATAATTTGATCAAAGCATACTAAAACATTTAATTTATCGGACGGTCTTAGTCAAAGAACTCTGGTATGACGCATCGGAGATATATTAAAATCTAGCCATTTGTTATGTTTTCTAATGTCAATATTTAAAAAAGTTTCCAGTAAATCAATTCAAGCAAACTTTTGTTACGATACAACATGTAAAACAATACTGAAATTTGACAATAAACGTAACGACAAACCAGAAAAAAAAATTTAAAATCGAAAGGGAGCTTCTTTCTTTCAATTCCAATGATATGTCAATATTTGCGAAAAACATTCAAGGCATATTTGAGTAGGTGCATGATTTGTAAAAAAAATGAATTCAATATAACGTTCAAAGTTCAGTAAGTCTATATCGAAAAAAGCAACTATTTTCACAATCAAAAGGGAGCTTTCTTTTGACAAATCTAATGTTGTGTAAAAAAACTTGACAATTTGGCAAAACATATTGAGCTATCGAATGAAGTGTTGACGGACAGACAGACGATCAGGCGGACGAACAGACGATATAATATACCATGGTATACCATGATCAACCCCGTCGTTAATCGTCGTATACAAGACCGAAATTGTTCTTATTATGTTTTTAGGAAAAAAGATTATAATGTATATAATTGTTTGTATCGGTGCTTCCGTTTAACTGGCCGATATATAACCACCTTTATTAGTTGCACTAGTTGTGTACTCCATGAGCTAAATATATAGAGATGGAGCTTACTGTGAGATAAGTCCAGTTTTTGACACCGGCTGGTACAATTGTAATTTCGAAAGTAAACTATTGGTTTTTTTTTCAGTAGTGGAGTCATTTACTGACACTATTTACGATAATATTTTGCAAGCTCACTTGATTTAAATAAGATAGATAATGTTCCATTGTTGCATTTAGCATCTACGTCGATAGATGCTCTTTCAATTATCGACGACTATAAGGGATACATACTGTAGTTACTGTAGATAGGATTTGAAGTGATATTCCATATAAAAAAAAATAATATGCAATGTTTTTCATACTGTCGAACTGTGCAAACTGATTTTCAGTGTTAACATTTGTTTGAATATGCATTACAGAGCTGAAATTCATGAATAGTCAACACATTTGATACATATGATACTAAGTGTTTACTGATCTAAAGTTCAACAGTTATGTGCTATAATATGTGTCTTGCTTTCAAAGTTGTGTTTAGTTAGTTTGTCTATTCTATGGCTTTGATTAATTAACAAAATACAAGACAAAACGACAAACAGTCAAATAGAGAGCTCCATTCGACAACAATGTGAAAAGAATAAAAAAGGTAAAGAAAAAATTGCACCAACATCAGCCTCCTTTTTTTCCTGCCCCCTAAACACAAAATAAAATACAATTAACACGACTAAGGCCGCCTTCACATTGAGCTAAACTCGGTGTAATGTAAGTGTACTCTTCACTTTAACTAAACTCAATTACGTTCCCATTGACAAAAATATATGTTTACATGTAGTTTTAAACAGGTTTTGACTGCATCCAGTCGATAGTCAATGTAGGACTTGTGTGGGTTAAGTGTTCATAAAACAAGATATTAAGAACGTTGATTTTATTGTGAATATTTAAGGAAGTTCCATATATTGAATAAATACGATTATCATAATATTTTGAATTAAATTATTTCCTATTTATATAACAAAAACTCGAAAATTGCTCCGCTAAAAACACGATTATATTTCATAGCCTTAGTGGACCATTTGATTTCCAGTGGGAAGAGGATTTTTTGCTGATAGAATATTCATTTTAAACCGGTTGATAGTACGGCTTATTTAATTAGCGCGAAAATAATTTTCACTTTTTGTACACAACTTTTCCTTGCAAAGTCCTGAATTTTATAGGACAAAATATTCATTTTTATCATGTCGTGTACAAGATTATTTTTACAGTTAGTACCAGTCTAGACTATACATTTCCAAAATCACCCAATGTGTGACTGGGAAATAGAAATATGGTCAATTAGATTTTCTTCCGATCGGCCGTAAAACCCATGCCAAAGTAGGGCACGTCCATCTTCATTTCGGACGGCCTCTATTACAGGACCCACCTATTGTTTTATTGTAAATTTGTTCTCGTCTTGAACATGCATGAAATACTTGCCACTGGACGTTTATCAATCAACAATCAATCAATCAATAATTTTCAAAATCCTTTTTTCGCCTATTGTTTCGCTGTTTTAGCAAACGTTATCATGCCAACCTAAGAACTCTCAAAGTTCTCCAAATTGATAGAACGATTTCCTTAAGGTACCGACCATTCATCTTCGTGAGACGAACCATTTTTTTTTAATTAATCATGTTATTGAAAAAAAATAATTTGCAATAACATACAGGAACATTTTTAAAATTCCTTTTTAAATCCCCCGCCCATCATTTTCAAGATTTTCAAGAAATCAAATTTTTCTCACTTCCCTCCTGGAACAAATGATTTGTATCTTAAAAAATGAATTTAAGGTTCATGTGGACCCTTTGGCTAAACTGGATGCATTTTCACATCAAAATTTAATCGGTGTACAGACAAACCTATATATCTGAAAATCTTTTTAAGGCATAGCATGCTCCAGATAAACAAAATGCAAATACATTTTATGTTTTAGAAAATTAAAAACTAACGGGATTTTGCAGTGCACATTTTTTCATTCCTCCAGAAGGAGCTAAAATAAACAGTTGGGAAAGAGGTTTGATAACTTCCCCACAGGTAATTATTGAAGTGAACTGTATTGATTGACATGGACAATAGAGGGACAATAGATACCTGACAATAATTAGTTATTTAAACTGTGTACCTGAGTGGACCATATCAAGTGAAACTCAACTGTTTGTTGATTTTATCATCTTCTGCACGGACGGAAAAAGTGCACAGTAAAATCCAGTTAAGTTTTAAATTTTCTAAAGCAGAAAATACATTTGAATTTTATTTATCTAGGGCAGGCTATGCCTTAAAACCGTTCAAGATGCACAGGTTAGTCTGTACTCAGAGTAAATTTTGAGAAAAATACACAGCCATTTTAGCCAAAGGATAAACATGAATCTTAATAACTTAAACAACAATTATACAATCCTTGTATGGTAGTTAAAGTGTCGCATTAAAAGAATATGATTATCAACAAAAAATCATTTAATTTAACCAGTTGACAGAATGGATGAGGAGTTCTGCTGATCCAAATGTATTTCTTTTTTTATTTATTTTGTTGGTTCAGCTTTTATTAATGTATTTGGATGTTTATAGGTCATTTCAAGATTAGATTTGTCATAATTGTAAGTGAGTAAAAAAGAATAAATTTGAACAAAAAACAGCGAACAGAAAAACTGACCCTCGGATCCTTTACAATTACCCTTGCGATACATTAAAAGCCTTTATAAATATATACTTTTATAATATATATAGAAAATTATATCTTTATAATCTTCATTCACTCATGGTAGCTTCCATAAACAATAAAGCAAAAACATGTAAATATCCACAAATATAGTTTCAAAGCCTTTTTTGAAAATTACTTTTTTCAAAAACCAAATATCTATTGATAACTGTCGACAATAGGAAACTATTAGAGTAAGAAGGAAGTATTTTCATGTATAAAAATTCCTGTCATTAAAATTTGATCTAATTTTACGCAAATATTTTGAAGTAATATGTGGCTTTTATTTATATTCAGTTTGTTTATATTTTCGAAAGGACTCTTGGCAAAAAATCCAGGATTCAGACTTCAGATAACGCAAAATGGGATAAATATTGGTATGTACAAATTAAACACGTCTTTCCCTTTAGTTATTGTCATTGAAAAATTCCATCTTGGACAATATTCAGTTATTTATGACTTGTTACAGGTGTTTAATATATTTCTAGTTGATAATTTTGTAATTTCCATAAAATTTTCGTTCAGGAACATGTTAAAGTTGTTTCGTGTGAATCGGCTATTTTGTGCATGTGTTTTAGTATATATTTTGACTGTTCATCACCTTTATATTTCCAACATCATTTGTTCAAAGTTTTTCAACAGACGTTCAACAAAGAATATAATATTTTTTTTGTTTTAAATCTTAATTATGTTTGTCTCGAATAAATTTTTTTAAATGAGAACAGACAACACAAAATAAAATGTTTTAAAATTATGTAACAGGTTGCTGCTACTGGCTATATAGTTTTTTTTGTATTAAATCATATCAATGGTTTAAATTCATGAGTTTTCCTTCAAGTGAATACTGTGGCAGCTGATTTACTTTCCAAGAATGTAAACACAATGAAGATTTCAAAACAAACTGGACGTGACATCAACGTTAATTATGAACTGAGAGAGTTAGTTAGTCACCAGTATATAAATGTCTTTCTTTGTGTGTCATTATCTCTTATATCAGAAATTTAAAAAAAAACTCAGCAATGAATAGTAAAGTCAAATTTTATTAATTTTGTTTAAGAACATGAGGAACATGTAGATGTTTCCATTTTGTCATCTGTCCTTTAAAAAAAACATGCTCTGTGTCAAAAAGTCAATACTATTCCTTCGTGTTAGTGTTCCCATTTCTAGAAATCCTTTCATTTCTTGTCAAACTCGAATTCTGTTTGTTGTTAAATTGATATCTCATTTTCTTTTTTTTTTACTGTATTTACAATATTTGGTAATTTTCGTAGACCATAGGTAGTAAGTCTAATTCATGAGTAAAATAATTGATTTCACAAAATTATTGAATAGCCAAAGCAGAGAGTGTCGTCTGCTGTTAATATATTAGTTTTGATTAAAACATATATTTTATGTCACATTTATTAAAAAATTAGATGACCTTTTTAAGTGATTTGCACCCCTATAAATATCATATATGTCTACTTAATGTATATCAAGTTAAACATCTTGTAATATACTTGCATACTTCTTTTCTTTTAGTATTAAGATTAAAAAGTTTCAACTTGGAAAGAGTAGTTTTACACGATATACAGAAAATAGCCTCAGATGGACTGCAGAAAAGATTGATTTGGATATTGACGGCCAATATCAATATGAATATAGCAGATTTTTGTAAGATTTTCCTCCTCTCTGTTTTCAATTATATGTACTGGTAATAAAATGCAAACATTTCGCTTTTACAGTTCACGTTTAATAACAAAATTTACTTTTCTTTCTTTCTGCATAAATATATGTAATAACAATATTTTTAAAAATAAATATATATATACATATGTATGAAAATAAAATTTAAAAAAAACTATGGACATATACAACAGTAAACCGTTTTCAAATTGATTAAATCTAAATCTATGTGTTTATTTCAGCGTCAAGCATTCAGACAAAGGAAGCTTCACGGTGAATTTTTCAACAATGTCATTCAAAATTATAATACAATTAGGTATGAAATCATATTCATAAAATGTCAAAGTTGTTTCTGGGTATAATATAGGCATAACTGATAAATAAAAAACGGAATATCGTATGATTGTCAACGAGCTCGAGACATCAATTAATAACAGATCAAAAAGACAGGAAAGAAAATATGTACATTGAGACTAGATTTGTATGACCTAAAACTAAAAATTTTAACATGTTTAACTACGTTTCCCATTTTCGTGGGAAAAATGTGTTTAATGTGACGATGTGGTCGAGTATTCAATTGATCATTGAAATGGAAGCGTAAAGCGTAGAAAAAGCAAAGAATTGGATGTTATTGCAAAGTTGTGATTGAAGATTTTGTGGTAGATCTTTAGAACTTTTAGGAATTCAAACTTGATTGACACTAAGACGTCACCAGTTTCACAGCATTAAATGCACCTTAATTTTGGAAATAATATCTCTACAATTATGTTTAAGATCAAAATATTGTAAATAAAAAGCATAACTTTGATGAGCTGATAAAAATCAAAAGGATCAAGTTGCAGGGATTAAAAGAATTCAGAAATATGCACGATGGAAATCCATTCATTGTTTTACTATACATTTAATACATGATTCTTACTTCCTTTCAGCCCTGCTTTGCTGTTATATAATAACATTTTTAATGTATGTTATCCTTTCAGATAAGCCTTAGAGGTTCAAGTATTTGAAATTATATATCCATTCAGATATATATTAATTTGACAGTTAATAAACATACTGTTTGGATGTAGCTGATAGTATCTGAAAAATGAAGCTATCTCTCTACAAATGATTGTGATAAAAAGTAGGAGAAATTTACACCTTCCAATTAGCACTATCTGTATTTTTAATTATGCACTGGTTTTTTTTTATTCAAAATTTAATTTCTCTTGTCTCTATTTTAACACATAAGGGACAGATGGAAGTGGAAGACCAACTGTAAGGGCTTATCAATGTTTACATACATATGGTCCAATAAAGTACGTATTTCATGGTGGAAAAGACTGGATATTCAAACTATTCGCAGAAAAGGCTATTCAGGGTATTCGTAATCAATTCCAGAACAATGTAAGTTATGCAAGAAGTATGTGGAAAAGGTAAATTCTATTGATAATTCCACCATTTATCACAAGTAAGATTTTATAAATGTTAGTTTTAATTCACGAAAAAGAATGTAAGACGTAAAACTAAATCTACTGTTCAGAAATGTAGATTCTAACACAGAATTGAGTATTAAAAATGAAAATAACACGTCGTATGTGAATTTGGTTCTGGAGAAGATTATTTTTTTAGGTAAAATGTCTAAAGCTCTTGTCGTATAATAAGTCTGCAAAAATGTTTTCTTTTTTATGGATTATTCGTCTTTTTCACTTTTTTGCGAGTCTTGGAATATATAAAGCTTCGAAGTCATTAACAAATTGCTTGATTTAGTGGGTTGCGACAGTGTAGATTCCCCGTTTCCATTCTCAATTTTACATGCAAAACTGAATTAAAGTTAAGCCAGTTAACAACTTTTATCAATACTCTAATACTGAATAGTCTTCTTTACAGTTGTGTGGAATCTTAAAAGATCTTGTCGAGAAGAATGCACAGAGAATTGTTTCAAATGTGAAAGGTATTTTTTTTTATATCAGAGTTACCATTCAACATGTTCAAGGAAAAAACATAAACATGTTGAGATTATGTATCTGAGTTAGATTATTTTTTGCAATGCAAACAATGCTATACACATCAGAGAAATTAATTAGTTTGTTGTATCGAAACAATGGTTTACTTTCATATTTCTTATCGTGCAGTTCGTGGAATATAAGCCCCAAAAAAACAAAGTGTGACACATTTTGCTGTCTCCACTTAAAAGAACTAGAATATATTAGTCTTATGATATGGAACGCTAGGCGCGAGTTGATTATTTAGAAGTCTTATCTTCTGTAGCGCTCAAATGTCTAGGGGTGAAAAGTCTTAGTGTTTGAAATACTAATCTATACGATGTAACGTATTGTATTTACATGTTTATATATACACATTAAAAGAAGTGAAAATACAATAAAATGCAAATAAACAGATAATAAGACGGTTTAATCAGGAAGTCAATATGAATTATCATATCTTTACGTAAAGTTCATAATTAAAAAATAATGTTGACTTAACTTGAAGTTTACCCGTATTGGAAATCATTCCATATAATTCTTGGCGGATAAGAATCAACAAGAAATGTTTATATGAGTAAATGTTTTCATGAAATTTACATATGAGATTACCACAATGGAAATTTGCTTGTATAAAACTTAGCAGTGACCGGTGCACTAGAACAAACGCAATCAACAGAAAACCTTAAGACAACATGATTCGAACTTCAACTGCATTATACATATGTCTATGATTTGATACGATGCCATTGTTTTATTAACGGTTATGGCAAAGTCATGATGCCAAATGATTTGTGGAAACAGGAAAAAGCCAAGGATTAGTGATCACGTGATCAAGCCTGCCTGGTAACAATAAGCATTTGTATTTTCTAGAAATTTATTGGTTTTCACCAGTCAACATTGAGGGCAAAAGTCACACTCGAAACATCAACCATTGTCTACTTATAGCCAATATACATATTTTACAAAATATTATATTGAACTTTATTGATTAAATTATATTATACAGTAAGGATTCCGCTTGGAAATTCCATGATGGTTGACTATAGGCTTCCATCCATTCCAAGTGTGTCAACGAACTATTTAGAAGTACACCTCAAGGTATATAGTTTTATTTGATATGCATGTATATAATACCAACATTGGAACAACTTAATCCATGTGCAATAGAATAATATGAAATTCAATTATCTTACTCTTCCTTAGCATCTTGTTAGATGTTATAGAAATTTTCTCAGAATTTTCCAAATATAATGCCATTTTGCACCTCATATTTATTTAAATTAGCGTTTATCTAAATTATTAAGTTCTCTTCAGCGAATCATTGATCTTGCAATTGTTTTATGCATGGGAAGTGGTCAAAATTTACTCGGCGTTCCACTTGTTTTAAAAGAAACAGTTAGGATCGGATCCGCAATGAGCTGAAGATGAATTTGAAGTTGAATTTATGTGTTATGCGTAATAACATTTCCACATTACTTTCACCTTTATTCAACTAACTTTATTTATGTGTGTTATGTAAATTTTTTTTTATCATCTATAATGAATAAGTTGTATAACGTTATATATTCTTTTTATAGGGAACGGTATTATGGCGTAATAGTCAAAATGAAGCACCATATTCAGCCGCTTCTTTTCCATCCAATTACGACACTACAAAAATGGCCTACATAGCAATATCTGATTATCTTTTCAATACTATGATTTTCCAAGCTTACAGGCACAACATGCTTGTGTTCAACATAACGTCAACAAACGTAAGTATAATTATCATTAAGCGTGATAAGATATTCCTTTAGTCTACGACTTATACATATATTTGACAATTTTAAGTACCAATACTGTTACGGTAGTTATGAACAGTATTACATTTATCTCAATTATATTCTATTCCTTATTTTTGAGAGGTTGAACAAAATCTACTTTATCAAATCATTGTATCCTATATTATCAAATGTCGCATTTCAAATATTGCCTTACAACCCTATTTAGTTATGAAATCAGACCCTCAAAATCTAGCATGGTTACATGTTCACCTAGAGGGTTGGAGGTCGTCGGTGTACACCCTTGCTAAAAATCAAAGACTTTAAAATTGAAATGTGTTTCTTCTCCGCTTAGAACGTGGGATTTAGAGGTAAGACACAGAGTCAGAATCTCTTGTCCGGGCAGGGTTAAACTTATTTCTGAGAATTGAAACATTGTAAACTATCACGTTAAAAATCTTTATTTCGTGCCATTACAATACAATAGAGGTACTCGAAGCAAACTCAAAACTTGATATGTGTTGCATGTTGTGGTTCGTTACTTTGCTTTAGGTTTACATTTTAACTGACATTATTATGATGAATGTATATTTCAGAAATACATATTATTATTAGATTAATTAGAAATACTACATATTAGTTAAAAGTAATTGTGTGAATTATAAAATAATGTATTTTAATTAAAATGCGTTTCAACATTAACACCAAAATATTTTCTTTGGCTGATTTGAAGATTGGATGTAGGAAGAGTATGCTGAACACCACATGCTCAGATAAATGCATTGGAAAACTAATTCCGCAGGTAAAGTATTTACAAAATAACAATTTGTTCAGTTTACTAAACTTTATTATATTCCCCACGGTTAAAAAAAACGCATATTGTTTTTTATGAATAAAATAAATCCTTGTTTCCAACGTCGAATACCGCGTATAATGAGTAACTATTTTGGAAATATGCACGTCGTAGTTGGAGTTTGGACTAAGGTATTTGAAATATTCTAAAACTAAAACAGACTCCTGTAGCCATTTTTATATCTATCAACAAAATAATAAAAATTTGTCCTTTATTTAAAATTAGTATAGAAAACTATCATATCTATAAAACAAAAACAGTTATTTTCTCCAAAATCATCTCATAAATTGACATTTCATGATAGCAATAATTGTCTCTTAATGCATTAGGCAAACACATTAAGACATTATTTTAAATTTTGAATGGTTCAAACTAAACAAGTGGCATTTACGATGCAAAAATACATAATTTTGCATTCAAATAAATGTTCTAAAAAAAACGTAAATCACATTTATTTCTTTTTTATCATTATTCTTTTTTATTCTATTTAATTGCATAGTTCTACCTTGCAATATCTTTTGAACAACAAGAAACCTAAACGTGTTCATACATTTTGCATAGATTGCGAAGTCCTTCCCAAATAGTTCAGTAGAGCTTCATATGATGAGTACCAAACAACCAGTAACTAACATAAATGGTATTGTTAGTGTGACAGCAGAAGGGAATATTAGTGTGTATGTCAGAAAACTGGACAACAGTCGTCAATACTTGTTTAGAGTTTCAGCGGTCAGTAATATATATAATATGAAGTTTTATAACATCTTTTGTTAGTTATTGCACTTATACAAAAAAGTCCTGGAATTTTAGAAACAAATCGCAGATCATACAGTTTGAAGTATCTATATGTGTTTATTTGTTCAAACTGAGCATCTATTGAAAATTTACAATGTATTACAAAATGTTGTGGTTAATATACTGCAATTGAAGTTTCATAGAATATCCTCATTTCTTACGCTCCTATTCACTTTTATATTAGAAAATGAAACGAATAATTATTGATAACACTAGTTCAAAAATGAGCTCAATTTGAGAATTTGTTTAGCATCTAGTTTGAAAACCACCTACATCATAGTTGTGTGTGTGTGTGTGTTATATATATCATATATCAATTTAAAATTGAATCCATCTGGATGATGTAGTTCATGTGTGTCAATTTCAGCAGTTTAAATTGAAAATATTCCTAAAAATTTAGTAAGAGGTATTATAATGTCAGGAGAAGTTTTCCCCTTCTTTTTCCAACTTTGCCTCCTTCCCTTTTCTCTGATATCTGTGTTATTTCTACAAACCCTGATTTCTGTTTATCTTCACCTTCTTTGTTTGTATCTGTGTATCAAGCAATATCTTATTCTAAATGATTAAGATAACAGAAATTCAGATCGGTGTATACTATATATTGTAAATATCATGCGGGAGGACTGTTTTAAGTAAAAATGGGCATTTTTCTGTCCAAAAACTTTCTTACAGTTTGCCACCCATTTGACCCGTATATATTGAAGACATGCACCACAATCTATACACATTTTGGAATTGTTATGGTATTCAAAATGGCGCAAGCAATGTTAATTTTTTCTGCGGTATTCTTTTACAAATTTTATCCAAGAGTAATAAAACTTTCCAAATTGTGTTATGTACTAAAGAGAATGTGTAACTGTGTATACACATTCGTATATTCGTATATTTTTTAAAAATAATTTCAAGAAATAATTACCGAACTATATTGCAGCAGCATTGTCGAAGCAGGGTGCAAATTTTAATAAAGTTCCCTTTAATCTTTATCTGCTGGAAACAGGCTTTCAATCGTTTTGCTCGTTTGATAAATTGAGGTATTGTTATTTCTACAAACATTGACATAGATGCTACCATGAGATGAAAATAACACTTTATGAACCGAATACGTCAGAAACGTTTTTCATGATTTGCCTTCAACAGGAACGCTTAATTTAAAAATTTTTATAGCTTAGAATAATTCAATACTATAATACTTTAGAATATATATGATCAAAAGGACGTAAAAAGTATAGCCAAATCCAACTAAGGTGAACTTTGCCTGAGATACTTATAAATTTAGCTTCTTAGTAATGTCTGAATTTATCAACTGATAATTTCCGGAAATTCACGTTAGTGCTGAGGCACTTACTGCTGCATGACAAATACAACTAAAACGAGTGTTGTTTTAATATACTCTTTAAATAAGACGCCATTAGATATTGCGACCAGACAACTCTAGTGTCCGAACATTTTTTACATTTTTATAATTACTGTTTTGAGTTTTTTATATTTTTACAATAGGTTGGAGGATCGAAAGTAAACCCAAGGCTAAATGATAGGATGCTTTATGGGCAATTAGCAAGGAGCGAGTTAGTACATGAAATAACGTATCTTTCATTTCTTGCTAAGTGTTGAAATTTTCGCAATGCTTTTATCTTAACTTATATCAAGTTAAAAGTATGATCTTTATCTAGCATTCGTGTTTTGAAATCTTCATCCATTACCTTGACAAACACAAGCATAGAATATGGCTGGTCGTCAAGAGTAAACTATCAAGAATGTATTTAGTTCCAAACTCTTCTATTAATTAACTTGCATACAGGTCTTGGTGAACAGTGATGTTGTTATGAAAGGAATCTTGCCAGTTATGTAGCGACAGTAATTGGCAAACTTTGTCATCATTTATCATTTATAGATTAATAATGTTATTATTCAATCTTCAACTAATTACTAAGCAACAGTGATAATTCGTTCATTCGATACACGCATCCGAGAATCAATGTGTTGTTTTTTGGTCATTCGTTAAATATATTCTGATATCAAAATTCTTGTATTAGTGATTCTTTTCATAACACTGCATAAGATTTCTAATCTTGGTAAAGTAGAAAATACCACAGGCACTTGTCTCAGAAAAAGATTTCGTATATACCTCAATATAACACAAGGTACTTAAATCGCATTTTTGAAAAATTTTACCCGGTCGCGAAATTCCGTTATTTGCCGATTTCTCGTTTGTCAACCCCACTAAAACTTGTTACGTCGTAAATCTAAATCGATTTATCTACACAATGGTGTAAAACACGCTTACCTTTGTTGTAGGAATCATCCGTAGCAGGCCTACCCAAGTATGTCAACCGTAATTATTTCGTCTACCTACACTCGATTGGAAACATAAGACTCGCAGTAAAAGGTATCTTCCCACTCTCTTTATATATCTCGGTTTCCGATTGGTTAACTTTTATGGGAAGGTCTATTGCTAAAATAAATGTTTTTCGGAGTTATCTGATCTTGTCTCATTTCATATGTAAAGTTCAGAGAGAGTCTGAATGACAATGATGGAATGGAAAAATTTGTGTCTAAAAATAGAAACTCGTAACTTATAAGACATACCTCAAATAACACTTGTTAGATTTTTTTTCACGGAATCTTATACAATTTTACTAACTGGATAATAAGTTCTATTGAGACAAAAACTAACAGTTTTTTTATTAAATAATTTTTGTAATTAATCATTTACTTCGAGTCTTATGTTTCCAATCGAGTGTAGGTAGACGAAATAATTACGGTTGACATACTTGGGTAGGCCTGCTATACGGATGATTCCTACTACAAAGGTAGGCATGTTATACACCATTGTGTAGATAAATCAATTTAGATTTACGGCATAATAAGTTTTAGTGGGGTTGACAAAAACCGAGAAATCGGTAAATAACGGAATTTCGCGACCGGGTGACATTTTTCAAAAATGCGAGTTAAGTACCTTGTGTTATATTAAGGTATATAGGAAAAAAAATTCTGAAACAAGTGCCTGTGGAAAATACGATGAACTATATATATCTACGCCATCTAACTTCGTTTTGATTCAACGTCATTTGCAGTTAATGACAACAAATATTGTAGTATGACTTCATAGGAGTACAATTGCAGGATTTCATTCACATATAAAATTATATGCTTTAGTTTGAAAATTGCGGTATTGCATTGCAACAAATATATGTTTGATTACCTTTTGAATATTTGATAAAATTGTTAATACATCTAAAATAACCAGGTACACGGAAGGTATTGTTCAATGTCTCATTGCAATACTATAAATCAAAATATCAGGACAGTGATGCACTAATGTCTACATGTTTTAATTGATTATGATTTGTTTACATCAATATATTGATGCAAAAATGAAGTTCGTCATGTGCAGCTTGGAATCAAGTTTAAGTCCTGTTCTTTATAATTTAACAACAAAACAAAACAGATTATATAAAGTTATTTTTAGAATTCAGACAAATGTCGCAAGTATAACAATTTAACATCACAAAAAAACAACAAATAAAATCCTATAAATTTATCTTTAGGATTCAGACAAACGTCACAGACTCTGTAATTGGTGCAATAGATGTAAGTTGAGCTATTATAGACTACACACGCATACATAAATATATAAACAAAATGTGCAGTTGTTTTAAAAATTGTTTACATATAGCAGCAATTAAACTATTAAAACTATTTGTGAAATAAACGAAAACTTTTCATTAGAAGACAATTAATCATAATAATTATGTTTTTACCTGCAGTTATCTTAAATAAATTTCTGGTATCATCATGGCGATTTGTTTTCCGTTTAATGTGCAAGTCTATTATGTGTAAAGAAAGTTATTAGTTTAGCAAAAAATAATGTAATAACTCATCATAGATACCATGTCGTCTTCAAATGACTCATCAATGACGCTAAAATCAAACAAATTAAAAAGGCTAAATAAAGTACAAAGTTGAAGTCACTAAGGATCCAAAATTCCGATAGGTATTGCCAAATACTTGTAAGGTAATCTAATATATAACATTGGGCAAAATGTTTTCCTATTCATTTATGTAAAATCAATTACAGTGTCCGAATGGATAAGCCATGGTAAGTGATTAAATGAATGACGCATAACCCTTCCGTGCACACGAAGAAAATTAATAGCAAAGGAACCGGCGTTTTTACTGCTGTTCGTCATCTTAAAAGCCCAGTGAGGACTTCAACGTGAAGAAAAAACTCCCACATCAAAATAAATTTTTGTTTGCTAGATATTGCATTTTTGTTTGATTTTAACAAGATATTACATCCAACATATATCATTGATACAGATATATAATATATCATCCCTAAACAGGAAAAAGCATTACAATTTCTGGCAGATGACATTCTGATGCCAACTTTAGCACCAATGGTATCCGGTAAGTGTGCATAAAATTAAATGTAAACATAAACATTTGTTTGTTGCAGACGGTAAGTCTGTTCTTATTACTAGTATATCCGCTTCAAACAAAGTTTTAGGAGTTTATTGGGATCGCTGCAACCATAATTAACAAATGGAACTAAACAGAATAGCAAATTTGATCTAATGTCAACTTTGCCTGAGGAAGTTGGAACCTTAGTTTCCTAATTATTTCTAAATTCATGAACGGGAAATTTAAATACGTATATGTTATAAATCATGTCAGTACCTAAGCACTGACTACTTACAGTCAGCTTTCCCTCACAAGTTGGATTTCTTGACTTACAATATATTATTAATGTACATGAAAGTCATATGAACGATTTTTATAGATTTTATTAGTCTTTAATATGGTGTTGATAAGTTCTGCTTTTAATGAGTCAAAGAGAATAACAGGTCGGTTGAAAAGAAGTTACAACTACATGTAATTCCATATGAAATTCCAACTATATGTTTCAAAATCAATACCAAAACGTGACACTTATGTTTCTACGTATAATTTGAATAAGTGTTGTTCTTAATTAAGAAGGAAGTATTGCTCGTCCTAATACAAGAAACTGTTATCTGTGTTTACCATTTTCATCAAATTAATTATGTTTAATGAAAAGATGTAGGCGATCATACGTTTTGATTGAAGTGAAGAGTATAGGAGTCATTCGTTAAAAAACTGTTGCAAACCAGTGTTTGAATACATTCTAATTTGTTGAAGTTCTTATATCTGATAACCTCTACTGGTAGAAAAAAGTATAACTTCAATGTAAATTCAAAAAAGGGGGAAGTTCATAAAAACTGACAAAATCAAGCGTTATGAAACATCGGATAGAGTAAAAAAATAGATGTTTATTTCTGACGGAGAAAATGATGGGTAAAATCTGGTTTGATAGAATACACATATCTACAACATATAAAGGTATTATTTAACTGCCGTTAGAATAGCGCCGATATGGCTTAGTTTGTTAAACGGTCAAGCACAACAAATTCATTATATGAATTCTTGTATAAAAACGTAAAATAAATATCATCCTGCGCACAACATTTGTTCCACGCACAACCTTCATCATATCCACTAGACACCTCATATTTGGAGTGCCACACGATGAACGTTTGAGTTCTTCATAATCTATAAGGGCCTAAAAAGTACAGAGAGTTGCAAAACGGTAAAGAATATATAAAAGGAATGAGGGGGGTATAAGGGAAAATAAAAAAAAAAACGTGTGTCGACGAAAAACACCATGGCTAAAAAAAAGGTGACAAATACAAAATCCGAAGACATCGAATGATGAAGAAACAACGACCCGAACAAAATCAGATGCTTCGATATGATACGCAGTTCCTACTCCACCAGTGGCACTTATCGTGTTGATCATAACAAGTTTTGTATATATCTAACTGACATTTTGTCTGTTTTAGGTCTGTGTAAAAGAGGATTTCCACTACCAACAATAGACAGCTTTCAATTCCTACAACCTGAACTGAAACTAAGGAAGGTAAAACTAATCAGCTTTATTCATTTACATATTAAATTGATGTGCAGTTGGTAAAATTTTGAATGGAGTTTTCGATAAACTTCATACTCACTTCATATAAAACTGATTTCTTGAAAAAGAACGTTAAAAAGAGAAAAAAAGGTGAAACCGCCTACATTCCAGAAGATGAACAATTACCATTGAAAATTTATAAATTAATGAAAGCTAATTAGATGTCGATGGAAAAGTATCATTGAAACGCACTCAATACGGAAATACTCTTTGAAGTAACCAAACAATCAATCCATATTTAAACGAACTCAATTGATGAATAAAAACAATGAATAGATCATTAGACATGCAACGCAGGTCAACATAGTCAAGTATTTTAGGAAGTTTAATTAGTGCGTGGTTTTTTCCTTCATGAAACAACCATGAGATATACACTTAGTGCATATCACTGCATTACTCCAACAGGAAATATTATTCATTTTCAAATTATAATACTTCAACTCCGACAGACACAATATGATGCTAGTTTCAATCATATGCACCAGAACCTAAAAACTTTATATAATTGAAAAGTATTCGATAATACTACATTTATTTAATATAACAATAAACTATTGACACAGAGATATGTCTCCTCTGTATGTAATTTTGATAGCATAATGCAAATATTAAGTTTGAATTACAAAAGTATATCACATAGAATAGGGTCAAAGAGACAACAACACTCGATTAAAGAGCAAAAAAACAGCACAAGGCCACCAATGAGTCTTCAACGCAGCGAACGAATTCCCGCACCCGGAGGCGTGCTTCAGCTGGCCGCTACACAATGATATGTACTAGTTCAGCGAAATGGATGCCACACTAAATTTCGAAATATGCAAATGAACCAAAATTAAAAAACCAATACATATTATATGTATACTATTCGAAATTATCAAAATTTACCTTTCGTAATTTTTGGTCCTCAATGTTGTTCAACTTCGTACTTTATTTGGCACTTTAAACTTTTTTTATTCGAGGGTAACTGATGAGTCATTTGTAGACAAAACGCGCATCGGCGTACATTATTTTAATCCTGGTATCTCCTGGTATCTATGATGAGAAATAAATGAAGGATACATAAAACCTATTATACCGTTATTTTAGAGTTCAGTGTTATCCCTGTACAGTACTGGCTTTATCTCATGTTCTTTTATACATATTTTGTTAATTTACTAGTTTAGATTAAAAGCGTCAGGGTTGAAAGCCCATAAAATTAGGTAAATTCCGCCACTTTTCATATGAGGGTCTCAAGTCAGGAACCTCGTCAGTAGTTGTCGTATGCCATATCTTTAAGGGGCATTGGCTACGAGATGTACACAAAATTGAGGTATGAATTTTTTTTTTTTGGTTCAATCATTAATAAACGTGAAATAGTGAAATAATAATTCGCTTTTAGCAGCCACTTTGGTTCTGTTTTGTCAAAATAAGCTAAGAAATGTCGCTGATGAATTATTCACTGAATTATTCGACCTCATTGACTCCGTATTCATGTGACCTCCAATTAAACCCTTTAGCTGGAGATTGGTTACGCATGTACTAGGCGTGTTTAGCTATTAAAAGGAAAAGAATGTCAGCATTGAAAGTGAAAATAGGTTTAAAAATTTCGTTCAATGATTCGATCAACACAAAATATTCCTATACGGGTAAAACACGATGATTAACATTTTTGTTTAACCTGTGATATGAAATCAAACAGACCTAGAAAAATTCAATTGTACGCTATCTATTTATATCTATATCCATGTTTATATAAGGTTATATGACTTCGGACGTCACCTCGATGATTAACTAGATGGCGTCTAGACGAAAATACATACGAAATGCAGATATATATTATCAAGTCCATGCATCGTAAATTGTTTATTCTTGATTTTTTATAATTTGGACATACGTTTTAGTATGTTATCAACCAAATATGAGACTTTGAGTCAAATCAGTGAACATGAATTTGACAGCTAATGCTCCTTAATGTTTTTGTTATTATGGAGAATTGGTTGTGATTGCAGATCTTTGTTTTTGTTTATTTTATTCACTATCATTTTTTTTTAGCTCGAGACGGTTAAAGGGAAAATTCGCGATTATTTACTTATAGTTTAAATATGTTCATTATGACATAAAATACATATTCACAAAGTTTTATCGCTATATGTGCAGTAATAAAGAAGAAAATCAATAATTAATAAAAAAAATATTGACTACTTCCTGTAGGTCGTGACGTTTTCTCCTGGTATTGTATGCCGGGATTTAAAATACAATCATTTAAAGTCTTGGTCTTTAATCATACTTTAACGTAATCGTAAGCGCGCCGATGACTAATTTTGATATCTAATTACCATCCGATAATAAGAAATTAAAACGAACAGACATGCAACTGTTTACATTCATGAGTTAGATTTTCTATATTTACCGTATATATTTCGATTTATTTTTGTAGACAGCACAAAAAATTATAATTTTTTTTTAATATATGCTTTTTCAGACTGATGAGGTGAACAAATTAAAGTATATAACTTAAACTGTAAAGACAATATATAGGTGTACGATTATTGATCTTTTACTATCTACGCTATGTCTAGGTTTATACGATGTGTGTATTATTCTCTGGCAATACTTGTGGAAGGCTTGTAAAAAGGTAAAATGTTATTTGCAGATCGGCAATAAGCCGGGCCTCTAGGGCACACCGTGCCAGGTGTGACTGTCTATTCGGGTCAGTGGATTGTAAGACAGGAGGTCGCGTTTAATACACAAAATACAAATGGATCGCCGTGGAATTATTTAATTATATTTGGTGCTATTATTTATTTGAATTCAAATTAGTTAATAAACTAAGAAATGAACAATTTTCGGTTAAAGTCAGGAAACTAAATTCAGGTGTCAGAATGAAATGATATACACTCTTATCATTTATTTATGTCTCAGAAAAAAGGAAAATAGAACTAGCTAGTTTTACAAAAGCATTTATGATTGTCCTTATTAGGCAAAAAATGTACGGGAACACTTAAATTTAGACATTTGAAAGCCATGACCAAATGAAAGGTGTACTTGTAATTCTTCTAGCGTTTGGCATTAAATCACGGTGAGGTCGGGAGGGTTAATTTTATATTTATATGCACGGTATATTCTGCATTTGTATAGTCCGAAGTTTACTAATTGATATTCTTATTTCACATGTTAAATAAATGAACAATTATAAAAAAACGAACGGCATTCATTTCGAAATATAACACTGTTTATATCTAGAGTGAAAATGAAGTCACAGCTTAATTTGACTTCTGAAAATCGGGAAAAGGGGAGGGGGTAATTCAAAATTTTCGTGGAAGGGTTAGCAGCTGTGATATTGAACTTTTTCATATAATTTGAATGACACAAATGCATTCCGAATGTTTTACAGAAAATCACAAGACAAAAGTCAAAGACCTTGATAAATGAAAATTGTTTCCGTTACCATATGTTAGGGTATAAACGGGATGTACTGATTAGAAATAACGGGACAAAAAAAAAATATAGAAAACGGAAGAATGGATGCTGAAATATAAATAATAGTAAAATTGAAAAAAGATAACATGGGGATTAGGCCTATACCTATTCTTAACAACTCTTAAATGTTGGCCTATACTATACATATTCTAAACCATTCTTAAATTTTGTTCCCCTAGTGTTACAAGTCATGGAGATTTCGGGTCCGACCCTAAACTTTATATGTATTTCTATTTCCGAATTGTCCTAGCTTCTATTTGGTACAATCTGAACAATAATCTGGAACCGATGTACGATCTACTGTCATTTACAGCTCTTAAACCTGACTTAGGCATTCTACGCTGAATATTTCTTATATATAAACCCACTGAAACAATTAAGATGTCTTGTAAAGTATTTTTTTAAATATTCTAATCAATCTTAGTAAAGCATTACTTGATTTTATGAGCTTGTCTGTTTTTCATTCTTCTTATTTTAATAATCGTAGTCGGAATTGTTATATACCAATGCACTTGAACATGTTAACAAAACAAAAAGCTATAAAAATAAAAAAAAAAGTGTGGCCGTTTTATTTCTCCACCAGAGACCAAATTACATAGAAGTTAACAACTGTAGGTTACAATTAATTTTAATAGATTTAAAGCACCTGGCCTTCGAATTCATATCATTTTGCACAACCATATGTCTTTAGAACAGAAGAACAACAGAAAAGCAATAACTATCTCTTAACATAACTGCCAAGAAGAAAAGTTATAATTACCATAAAATTTCCTTCGAAACAAGATGTTTCAAAATGGTCCTCACACACAACCTTGTTTTTGGTACATATTGGTATTTTATAAAAGTTTAAATGTACAACTGTATATAACGTACATATTATTAACCTAAAAAAATCCCATTTGGAGTGACCTTTAGAAATGGTGAACCTACCAGACAGGTAACAGGTAACTAGTAAAGCTTGCTTCTTGTAAGTCTAAGTTGCAGATCCAAGTCTGGTACAATTCTTTCTTTTTTACTGGACCCGGGAAACTATGTAGACTTCTTCCATTACTTGTTCGGGTAGAACATCCATAAGCTTGACACGTCATTTTAACTATGACATGTCATGCTAGGTACTAGGACTTTGTGGTAATTAGATATCCGTGATTATTAGTTTTCAAGATGGCGACTTGCCGAGAATTGATAGTCGGTTTTAAAAATCGATTTACTCACTTATCTAGACGAATAAACTTTTAATATTTTGGGAATATGCTTATTTATTTAGGATGAACATAATATCAAATTTTTATTTTTTTGCGAATTTTCCCTTTAAGAACTTGACAAATTATAAAGACACCTGTCTATCGATGAATACTGTATGTTGCATCTAAATTTCCATTGATTTTTCTCGTTAGGTTGCTGTTTCATTGTCGTATATCCAACATTTACTTTTATTTCTTCAATTCAACATATAGTAAGTGAAAGCAAATGAATGTAACGTTATTATGCATATCTAACGATGTCCGGTTACATTGCTTAAGCGAGGGCCAGACACGGATTTTGTATGTTTAATAATTTTGAATGGGATAGCAACAAAATAAAACTAGATATTGGGAATCGGGAAAAGGGCTTAATCGGTAAAATTACAGATCAGACGACTATACTGATTGTAAAGGAAAAATCATGTATGTGCATAAAGGATTGCGAAATCTGAACATAGATGCTTATGTATCTTTTCTGATTTTGACTTTCCGATGAATAACATGAATACAATGTATATAACTATATAAGTTTGTGAGTTTATGATTAAAAATGATCAAGCTTGTATATTACGTTTAAAACGATTCTTATTTTCAGAATGCAATCCTTATTGAGACAAATCTTAAGTACATTCCAAGGAGGGGAAAGTCAACTGTCCTAAGATTTTTGCCAAAAGAAGAGATTTACCAGGAAAACATTTATTCATGAAGCAAAGGCGAAAAAAGAAACCATGTAAAATTGTTTGATAGAACTTTATGGACTTAATTGTTCTTCGTGGGAAAAAATACAATCATTATGATGAATACAGATACGTTGAAAAAGTAAATGATTTAGCATTGCACATAAGACCATGTTATTATGTAATAGTATTGTTTCAGCCTGTTTTAATCATCATTTTGTCATTTTTCAACTAACATATAGACCGATTTTCACAGTAGGGAATTTAAATGCCAGAAGACCCAGTTCAAATATTTGATGGCCTTTTTTAAAAGTTTGTGCAACATTTGGCTCAATTTGTTTGGGTTTGGATAAATATCCATTTGTTGTATTTAACTGCAAATCGTTTCAACGTCTCAAGTCATTTTCACAGAATGGGCCAATGTTCATTGACATGTCTATTTTGATGCTCCTACGACAAAATGCCAGTTTACTTCTCGTTCAGTTTTCAAGCTAGAACTTTTATAGATGCATTTATAGGTTTTTAGTTCCTTTGCCAAGGGTGTTATACTGTAATGATTTTTATGGGTTTTTTTTATATTCTTTTCACAAATGACTGGTTGCTAAACTTTGTTATTTGTAGTGAAATTATACATGCGGTATCATGGATTGCCTTGCTAACTCCTCTATAAAATTCCAGCTAGAACTGGTATATCATACTGATTGTTTGTAAATAAACGAAGCCACTGCAAATTATCTGAATTTTGATTTTTGTAAACTTTCGAAAAATGCGAGATGTTGAGAGTAATTATTTTTATGCGTGCCCTTTGACAAACAGTCACATAGTTTACCGTTGTCGTTACACATGGGTGTAAAATGTATTTATGGTGAATTTTCATGTGGTAAATAGCATTTTGGACAAATTGTTTTTCGTGTCAGTTCCACAGTTACCAAGTACAGTTGTCCACCCATTTCAAGTTGTACGTCAACATCACTAATTTATTGTTAACGGAACAACAACCATGCGAACGGCAGGAGCATCGTCTCTGTCTAGTTAAATATACTTAGATGTTGGGTGTTCTGTTCAGGTGATATTTCCTATTCTTATATATATTTTTTTATATTCTTTTCTTTGTATTATTTTATACCTAATTCCTGGAATAAAACTCTTTAATGAGTATGAAATCTGCAATACCTTCAGTTTTTATGACGTAAAGAATTTTTAAACGATCAGTCGGCCTTTTACATCGGGAAAATGAAAGTTTGTTAAATTAAATTTTCATCATTCATGGTGTTTTTTTGTGTTTTTTGTTTTATTTATTGATAATTTTAATTTGATTAGGGTGATAAAGGTATACTTTATTAAATTTATTTGTACCTTATCGTTTTCAATAATGATCTATCGCGTTCGTAAGCAGGTGATCGTTCACTATAATCAATAAGTATAAATTTTTAGTTATATATGTAAGGGATTTGGAAAGAAATCATACATCAGTTTTCAAACAGATTTTTACATATCTGAGTATCATTTAAAGTTCCCAATTTAAAGAAATTACAAAACCAAATTTTGCATTTCCCCTCCATTATAAAAATAAGGAGATGTGGTATGATATTGTTCAGTCAAAAACAAAGAGCTTACTGTCCATTAATCTGTGACATGTTATTAATATGTAGGTTATAATAATGATGAGGTAAGTTTTTTTCAACTGATTTTTATAGTCTGCTCTCATGATGTACTCCTACACCACTGTCACAGGTTAGGGGAGGGTTTGGCGCCAGCAAACATGTTTAACCGCGCCACATTCTGTATGTGCCTCTCCCAAATCAGGTGCATGTAATTCAGTAGGTGTTGTTTGTTGTTCTATATCATATTTGTTTTTCGTTTATTGTTTTGTACATAAATCAAGCAGTCAGTTTTCTCGTTTGAATTGTTTAACATTTGTCATTTTGGTGCCTTTTATTACTCACTATGCGTTTTGAGTTTTGTTCTTTGTTAAAGGTCTTGCAGGTACCAGTCTTGTATTACAACTCCAGTATCCGGTGCATGTCAAAACATGAAGTGAAATAAAATAGTCCATTTTTTCTGAATTTTTATCTGAACTCAATTTTTTCTGTTTGATTAAAAGTTTATGCTGAGTTGAAACATATATTTAGATTTAAAAAAAATATTGCATCTTTTTGGGGATATCAAACCAGGAAAGAGGAAAGATATCATGTTTACTGTAAGTGGTGCGGCCTAGTAAAAACAGCAAAAAGAAAGTAGAAAAAAAATAGTTTTGACTTCAGGGTTTCATAACTTTTTATTCTTCGTGGCATGATTCAATTTTGTTTTGATTAAATCACAATTTCACATTACTACATACATGATATGTACATGAAAAAAAATTCTATGAAGCATCTTATTTTTAAAAAAACTTCAAAGATCAGCTGTTTTGCATGTAAGCCTATGGAGTAGTCAATTACAAGACTGCAACCTGCAGTGTTTTATAGATGCTTAAAACCTCTACATGTACGTCATTTTTGTCTCTAATCGTACTATATCTTATTATTTTTATATAGCTCTTTTTAATCTTGTACATTCTTTTAGCTTCATACAATCTTTATTCTTTATTCTGTTACAAAGAAAAACTATTTTAACATATTTCTAAAAATAAATATGATCAAAATATATATACTTATACTTGTAAAAAAATATGATTGTAAATAAAGCTAAAAATACCAATTTTAACATTTGAATTAATAATTAATATATGACCCAAAATGTATTACAAATCCCGTCCATGGTATTAGATTTGCCCTAACTTGTTTTTGGTTTTCCTTGTTTTCTGTTTGATCTCCTTTTATTTGATTTGGGATTGGAAAAGTGGTAAGAACATCAAAATCACAACTATATTATATTTGGTGAGAAAATGTAAATAACTGTTAGAAACCTTCTGTAAAAAAAGGAGGCAGACGATACCAAGCAGAGACTGAAAACTCAGAAGTCGAGGAGAAACTAACACACCATTGCAAAAATAAAACTGCAAAAAACAAGTTCACTAAACACTATATAAACAACTAAAGACTGATCAACAGAAACAACACCAAAAGCTAGGTGATATCATGTGCTCCGGAAAGGTAAGCAGATCCTGCTTTACTTATTCCACTCGTCGTGTGCTCATGTTCAGTACAAAGTCGATAATTACTCATTTTCAGTGATGTCACAAAAGAGACGGGGACTGTGCTTTCGACTATTTGAACACATCTCCGTGGTTATATAGGACACATATAGTCCATAGTGGTTAACCAACTTGCGATAGCATCCGTAAAACTTTCGAAGTGATAAATTAAGCTTTTCCACTTGGACCCTTGGTTCAATACCTTCCGTGTAACCTCTATCCTGTCCTCTTTTACCCGAATGTGACCTACCGAATTAGACTTATCACCGGGTTGCACTTAGGTACATGATCAATACGACGGGATTCACATGTAAAGAAGGGTCTGCTTATCCCTCCGGAGCACATGAGATCACCCCCGGGTTTTGGTGGGGTTCGTGTTGCTCAGTCTTTAGTTTTTCTATGTTGTGTTTTGTGTACTCTTGGTCTTTTTCTTGTTTTGCCATGGCGTTATCCGTTTGTTTTCGACTTATGAGTTTGAATGTCCCTTTTCTTTTAGCTGTATATTCATGATATTCTGTTTTAAATAAGAGTAATCCTTCATAACATACAAAATCTAGAACGAAGTATCAGGAGGCAATACAAATCATTAGTCTAACAAAAACAGGCAGTGGAATGGCAAAAATTCACGGCAAAAAGACAAACAGCAGTCCATAAAAGACTACACAGAAATGAAATGATTGAGTGAGAAATTCCACCAAAACCAGGGAGAGAGCTCAAGAGCTAAGCAAGTGACATCGGTCATATTGCTCCTTGTCAGTAAAATACTGTTATAGGTCACATTCGATGATTTCACAGGAGGACAAGATTTATGATGACGACAAGTAGAACGTATCAGTGCTCACCTTTGACAAACTTTTTCCAACACAGTCAATTGCAACCAAATCCTGATTGTGTCCGTAAAACTTGATTTAATAGCTTAATTCACATTCAGATATATTGATGATATTCTTTCCATTAACAATCTAAACTTTTCTGATTGTGTTTCATTTATATATCTTCCAGAACTAGAAATTAAAAAAAATAATACATCTGATATGAAAAATAACATGTTATGATCTTTTTATCATATGCTTCAACAATGGAGAAAAATAACAGTTCAATGATATCGATCCTTTATGTGGTTCTCAAGAAGAAGTTCAAAAAGTGAAATGTTTACAGACCACGGACGCCAAATACATCCGATATGAAATGTCCATACCATATGCCTCAATAGAGGAGAAAAAAAACACTATAATATTTTTTTATATTGACAATGAAAAAATCAACAAAACATAATGTAAAATGACATGTAATGATCTTTATTTATCATATACTTCAGCAGAAGAAATACAGACAAGAACTATTTTTAAAAACTTTGAAAATGCATTTATTGTAATATTTGCATTTTACATATTATATTTTCCTATTTCCTAATATTTGTTTTGTACCCTACTTTGTTATGTTTTTCACTGAAAACGTACCATTGAGACGTATTTTCCAGAATTTGCCGAGTGACGCCGGAATACCATGCGATAACGTTACGGAAAGGCATACGATAATAACCGGAAGCAGTTGCTAATGTTTTCATATCAGCCCGCTAAGCACCATTTCGGAAAATATGGAATTCACGTAAATTTAATGCTATTATCATACTGTAAAATTATAAGTTATTAATTCTATGTATATGATAATCTGATATTATTTATTTTTTTTAAGTTGTTCATATATATTTAAAAATTATTTATTCTTTTGTCTTTCATTGAGGGATTTTATTCCACAAGACTCTTTGATTCAAGCATATTGGGCGTATACGTCTCGAAATTTATAAACATTACGCATACAAGTAATGACACATTTGGCCTTAGTCATAATAGTACATTTGCACTACATGTATTTTTTCTGTTCATTGAGAACAGAATTTTATGATCATATAAAGAAATTTAACAATTATTATTGTATTAGTTATTTGAAATAATATATCATTTGCTAAATCGAAGTAACCTCCCGATAATAGGCGGGATTAGTGTAAATATATGTCGTCTTGCATTTTCATACGTAATATTAAATTTCGGTAAAATAAAAATTAAATCAGAAAAGTTAATGTTTAAAAAAGAAGCCAAATTTGGTATGGCGTTAATAATTTCTAGAGTAGGACATTTACCAAAATGTGTAATTACTCTTCTACATATAAGAATTTACGCGTCATGGCAAACATAGGAAAGTTCAATGCTGTTTTCACTGAAACATAACAATCCCTGCAAGTAAGGTGAAACCTTCAAGCATGCTTCAGCACATTCTTTGAAAATAATCCCCTAGCTTTCAAATTTGTAAGCTAATCCAATCTTCATTTCTAAAAGCAAATTATGCAAAAATTAATTTAAATTTTAAAAATGGAATCCTATGACATCCATCCAAACAAAATACAATTGTATATTTATTTATCATTCTGGTTCCTTGTTGAAAGTTCCTTGAATAATTTTCCTAAACAAATAATCATCAGCTATGAAATGATATTAAACTAGATTAAGGAATATTATTCTAATGAAACTGTACACTCGTGAATTCTTTACCAAGTACAGATCCGAAGATTACGAGTGAAAGGAGTAAGGAGACAATGGTCTGGCAGCAGCATTAACTATTCAGAGTTTTGAGTAAGTTGTTATATTTAAAGACAAATTTAAGAGACATTTGGATACTAGTACATTGAATACTTTTGCGGCATTGTTGTTTCGTTGCGTTTTTAATTGCAAGAATTTGTGGTTATGCGTTTATGATCCTTATCCGTTTATGTTTCGTTTTCACCAACTGGATATTTGATGTTGTGGTGCACAACCATAACATACGTGCAGAATGCTCTTGTTGTGACGGGACTTAGTGCCCACCGTCTCAACGCCCCTTTGGACTGCACATTGACAAATACCACTAAGGACGATGCATACCTTTGAATGCTCTCGGGATGCTCTTGGTAGTGCAAGGTTGGGATCTTTTTAATATGCTTTGTGATATACGACCTGTTTGATGAAATAAATAAGAGAACTCAATTTTGCTTGTAGGAACAATGATGATTTAATTATTCTTTTCTTTTCTTTTCTTCTTGATCATAAAATTTCCCAATGCATAAATGATACAGATTAACAATAGACAGCATTATCAGTTGACAATAACACATGTATTTCTGTTTCGTGTATTGTTAAAATTACCATGTGAATGGTATGTCAATTAACTAGGATATTTAAATACATCAACGCAAGACGCACTAAGCACCTGCTTTTAATTTAGAGGTATTCCCGTAACAGTGTGGACAACCGTAATACTTATATTGGTAATAAAACTGAATCATTTACCTTTAACTTGTTTGTCATCGGCTATCGATAACAATGATTTTACGCTCATGCAGTCTGTCAGAGGCCTTCTAGTTGTGATTTAAATAGAATGAAACAGTAAAGAATGTTTAAGTATTCAACATTAAGATCAACACTCAAGGTTAAGTCCTCTGCTAGTTATTCGTATTATTTGATTTATGCGTTTAGAACCTTTGGCGATCCCACAGTTTAAATGTCTATAACAAGAACGATGCGATAATTCAGCGTTACAGAGGAACGTTCACCTAATATGACTCAGTTAATTGACAACCTGAGCGCACCGAGACATGGTCTCGTCCACACTGTTATAAAAACGATTCTAAATACGTTTATCCTATCTATTATACATGGAGTGAATATCCTCATGAAACACATCTACTATAATGTTATATCTGAATATAAATGAATTACTAGAATAGAAAACAATTTTTGCTATTGAATTAAGAATTAAGTTGATCAATTATTTTTAATGCATCGTATAACAAAAAGATTTTCTTTCTTGTAATTCTATAATTTATTTCCTACTTTAAATAATTTCAAATGTATGTACCTAAACTTCAAAAAAATATAACTATTAAGTAACCTTTTTAATGAAATAAATAAGAGAACTCAATTTTGCTGGTAGAAACATTAATGTCGGCAGGTCTTTTATTTTTGCTTCTATAGTCTCCGTTGAATACCCGACATCCTTGTTCCCTCGTCAAACCTAAGCCTCTCTGCAAATGATGGAATTTGTTGCCAAAATATTTGTTGAAAATATACAAAATACAATTATCTATATTTGAAAGCATCAAGATTATTATTTCTAAAATTAACTAGAATTACATTTCGAAAAGACTTTAAACTTCCGATCTTTATAATAAAAGATAATTAAGATTGGTTAATTTCTAATTATTATTTAATTTTTCTAAGTGATCATATATAAATCATCGTATCTCAGCTTTTTGATTGGTTAGTATTACCATTCCTGTGTGGCTTTATGTATTACTGAATATTCATGAGGCTGAAACTTATCTATAATTTTGTGAGTATGGTTATAACCTTGGACGTAATTATAGTTCGCTATACATCTTTCCTGCAACCTCTAGCCTTCCAAACGCGGGCTAAATCACTAATTTGATAAGGTTCTTGATTTTGTGCTATTGTTAATTATTTTGTTCCAAAGAAAATGTTTGTAATTCGTATGAATCATATCTATTTCAATGAGTATTTTCTTATTATTACATTTT